TTCTGGTATTTTTTCATTTAGAACAAAAATAATTCTCCAAACAAGAAACAAATAATTGACCGGCTAAAAATGTAACGTAAGTTCCACAGTAATATCAATCCTCTATTTGGGTTACCAACTTCATAATTTCCGATCTAGATACGTCCTTTGTTGCCCTCAGAAAATGAAACATTGTCTGACAAACAAGATTTCTAACAAATGCGTTAAGTAGCAAAACCTTGTGCTCTATTTATCTGAAGGAAGTGAACGTGTTTAGAGAAAAATTTTACTAGCCTTACTGGGACAAAAGAAGTACTGTTTGATCACTAGCTTTATTTCTCATTAGTTTGCGTATGTTTTATGCTGTGCATCTAATACATGCCCAATTGAAGTAGCAACAAAATTCGAAATAATCAATGTTAAACTTATAAGTAGTGAAATTTCTCAGAAAATTATTAATACATCTGTGCAGAGATGTTACTTCATAAAGTTAAAGGGAAGTGATGATTAATCTGTTGATGCCTCAAAAACACCAAATTGCCAGATATTGGTATAAGTATAGAAGAGTCGTATAATTCATTTCCCTAATTTCTCCATCACTATTTGAAAGTCTGCACAATGAACTAAACGAAGTTCATTTTAGCATCAAATGTTTTTAGATTTGAGCAGCCCTTAAATCATAGCTAAGCCGACTGCAAGCGGTATTGGATTAGATATATACATATATGAAGCAACTTTTTGTCGCGATACAGTACTATTGGGAATTGGTTTGAGAAAACTCTATGTACTAGTAAACTCTGTCTGAGTTGTCTTAACAGTTTGTTCAGACCGATTTCCTATGGGGTATAATAAGGGTGTTGTGTATGCTCATTTGCATGACTTGGAGTAAAGTCATAATTTTCTGTTCAGCCCTCATTGCCTAAATAGTATTAAACTAGATAAGCGAAGAGCGGTAAGAAATTTTCATGATTATTTGCGTCAGATGAAGAACACATCCAAAAGGGATAAACAAAACGTGAAGAAGAACTTATCAGATAATTATCTCTTCTTTTTTCAGAGTTTTTTCGTTTTTTAAAAATTATCTAGCTGTTCCTCAAATGCTTGTGTACAATATATATTTTAAAAACTTACAATCGCTGCCGACGATTTGGATGATGACTTGATCACAAGAATCTACAGTTAATGAGAC